TATGTAATTACTATGCTTACGGGCTTCCGTTTTGCCTCCAGAATAAACACGGAAAAAAAGATTACCGGATGATCTCATAAATTTCGACCTACCGCTCTGAAGAAACTATTACTATCCTAATAACTTCGATATGCCCTCTCATTCAGCTTCCACTATTTTGCAATAAAATCATTGGCGACGCTCACCAGACGGTATTTCGTACTTTAGTAAGATCGCTTGGAATCCCAGTAGCTAGAATTTGAGACATACTGGTCCTCGAAGTTGAGGAAGTTAATTGTGTAATTATGTAATATTTGGAAAGGAAATATTCCGTTAAAATTTCGGCCTCTCAGTTATTTTGATCTCCGAGTACGCGATTTCCCTACCAAAACCTTTCATAGGGTCAAACTTGAAAATACGTGCACCTGACGGCATAATTTGAAGTCTTTAATTTGTATGTGGGCCGAGAGCATTCCCAGCTTTTCTGATTTCCGATTTAGCGATTTTTCCGCCAAAATTTTCGCAGGCACTTACACGAGGCCTAGACTGCGTGAAGGTTGGTACTGCGGTTTAGGGTGGCAGTTGACCGGGGCTTTTAGCGCCGGAGCTTGCTTGGCTGCCGAGTTGAAACAATCGGACGTCCAGATAGGCAGACGCACAAAAACACATATGGACACATGATATTACTATATGGGTTTTTGCGTTTACATATATATATATATATATATATATGTAAACGTTTACATATATATATTTAAACGTTTTTATATATTTTATATATATGTATATATATAAAATACATATACATAAAAACGCATAAAAAACTGTTCGGATTCTGAGTACTTCCGCTTTTCACAGACAATGATTACGGAAGGGGCTTTGTCTTTTCGATCTCCTAGACATATTTTATCCTGGCAGTTCTAAGGAGCAGAAAAGATCGATCTAACCTTGTTGCTTTGCATATTTGCCTCATCTACTAGACTGTTGCTTACATCAATGGCCGAGTCGCGGACGCATGAAACTGATTCGGCAAGCATTTGCAAGTTTCGTGTGGTATTCATTGCGGGAACCTGAAACATAACTATTTACAAGTTACTGCCATAGGCACCAGTTCCAACATCAGTCACTTTTGCTAAGATGCAGATTAAAGGTTATGTTCCCCAAATAATAGTCTCAGTTTCCGCTCATCTAATCCGTGTGACCTTGACGTTCGGCGGTGAAACACTAATTACTTTGCACGCTCCTCGGTGAAACACTAATTATTTGTAGGCTTCACTGGTACAAACCCGAAATTGTAGTAATTTTACCAGGTGTTTCTGGAAAAGTGTATTATTTTTGAATGAAGCAGTAAAATACAGTTACTGCAAGTTGAAGAAAAAAGAGAAACCTGGAAGGACCAGGAGATGATGAACATGAGAATTATGGAGCGGAGCCGGCTGGTGAGAAGTTTTGTCACAGCAACAAGGATAACAGCACGCAGTGCTGGGAATGGTATCATGATGCCGAGTACGCACTGGGCAATAATACTCACGTAGACTCCCAGCCTGCAGTTTGTCAAACACAAATTGATAATTTTTCTCAGAAAAATCTTGAAAATATTGAAATGATGTTGGAATTTCTCAAGTTTCTTGCTCCAAAACAAATTTATTGATTTGGAACAAACACGAAAAATTTCTCGCTCTGTGCAAATTTGTTAATAGATCTCTACGGAGGAAGAATTAATATGAAATCCACGAATAACTTTATCTCTTGTTTGCAACTCAAAAAAAAGAGAGAGCTCCTCTGTCAGACTCAAAACTTCCTTCGCATTCGCCTCTGATAAGTGTAAAAGATCGAAGCGAGTTGAAATGGCAGCAAGTGCCAATAGCAACCACCGTCTAGCAAGGCTGTCGATGGCGCCCTTTTTCGAGAACTGCTTACAAGTAAGCTGATGGTGAATTCAGCTCCCAATACGCGCCAGTACCAACACACTACCAAAAAAACCCAGGCTGGAGCGCTCCAGGCTCTCCGGTGCGATTATGCGTTTTTGCACTAAATTCGCAGATCGCTATTAGCAAGAATGATCCCTACGCTGTAATTTAACACTTGGGCTCATATTGACCGTGCTTTAGCCCTTTCCAGCATGCAGGAGGAAGGGTGTCAGTTGGGACCACGGTGCATAATAGAGCCGCACGGACATCCAGGTGCATGACTACCGGTTTTTTGCATGAAGTCCGGTCGTTTTTTCCGTGAATGCTCGCTTTGTGAAAAAATGACAAATACAGATTTTTTGAAAAAATGCAAATTTTCAATTCACTAAAAAGTGAAGGTATTGCTCGAGCGGTCGTTAGTCAAAAAGTCTATATTCATTTACGTATACAATTGCGGCTCAGGTCCGAGTTGCGAACGGTTTTTTTTTGAAAAAATGCAAATTTCCAATTCATTGAAAATTGAAAGTACCGCTCGAACAGTCGTTCGTCAAATAATCCATGTTCGTTTGCATATACGATTGCGGTTCAGGTCTGAGTTGCTAACAATTTTTGGGTTGAGGAGCTACTTGAGGCTGTGGTTGGGGAGCTAGAGAGCTGGGTTTAAAATTTTTACCTCGCATGTGCATAGAGAATATCCCTGCAAAATTTTAGCTTTCTACGTTGCCTGGTTCGCGAAATCGTTTCCCGCCAACATATTTCTTTCGGAGTCCTGTACGCGGAGTTTAGGCGCAGATGGGGAAAGATCTTAAAACAGGAGGATGACACACGGAGTAGGAA